TGGGAAATCCATAGAGACTGATGCTGCTGGTGTGCTGAGATAAATGTTTACTTGAACCAAAACGACTGATTATATGTAGTTACCAAATAACTTCAAACCAAAGCCTCACATATGATTAGCTAGCCAAGAATGTGTGGTATAAAAACAGTGCCGACTGTCAGAATACCAATTCAAAAATATAAGATTATTTACTTTTTTCTCTTGTGAAGATATACGTCAACTCAAGAACTGTAATAAGCCACTGAATATTTTTGGAGAGCCATCTCAGAAATACCGAAGGGAAAGTAGGAGAAGAGTAGTCACTAATGCAATTCTCATTTTTGAAGAGAAGAGCAAGAATCTTTGCCATTTAATACTTCGACACGAATTGCCTTTATAGCACCAGTGATTCTGCAGATTAATGTCAAATCTGAAAAACGTTCAGAGTGTGATTTGATCCCCTTTATTGATTTCCTTTTCCAATGCTGATTTTGTGATTTAGGTGGAAACTAAAAAGAATTTCAAGGATATAGAGCATAACATTGTAGCTGCGTCGTGATAAGCCGCTGCGAAAGTGATAAATGTGTTATCCATCCTGATTGAGCATGGTGGCTGTCTGCAGTGTAGGAGGCAAGAGAGGGAGGTGAAGGAAGGAACCCCAAACACAGACTGTACGCAAACACAACTACTGAATGTAAAAGAGTGTATGTGTGTCTTCAGTGACTGTCCTGATGGCACATGATGTCTGGTAAATGCAGGCTGTCAATGTCTCAAACAAACAGTACTTGCAATATTTGACTAAGGGTCCCGCTTTCCCTGGAACGGTCTAGTTTACTGGCAGGAGAATCAAATCCAAACACTTTTGTGAGATTTGGGTTTGTCACTTGAGACCGTGAAACTGACTTTAATCCTAATATTGGCTACACATTCTGCACAAAAAAGAGATGTTTACCACTTTTCAAGTTTCTGCACTCAGAGAATACATCGTTTTCCCATAATACTTTTTATTTAGGCTGACAACTGATCCACAAATGTATTCTTGTTGCAAAATTCAGTGGGTATCTAGATAGTCTGAAAGTGACAGGAAAGAAAAAAAGTTAAACATCGTCATAATGTCCCTGTACTGATTCAAAAGTGAAAATTACTACATTTCACAGTACTACAGTACCTCGTGACTCTTTTTGCTCCATATCAAAAAATAACCTCCATCCGCACTAAGACCCATAAAAATGCATTTCACTTTATCATTTATGTATATTGAGAAGCTGTGAACTACCCAGTCAGCATTTGTATGTGGGTACTATCAGGCCTGAAAGGTAGGACCCGCATGGAATTATCCTCAGGTTCCACAAGGGACCTTGTTTCCATTACATATACATGTGGCAAAGAGAAAGTGGTAACCATCTGTGGCCCACACAATTTGCCCTCATTCAAAGCAGCCAAGCAGATGTTTCCCTAAGTCCATACACGTCTAACCAGAAACAACAGTGGACAATGGGTCCAATAAGAACTTCTTTTATAAAATATGCAAGGTAAAGGATGATTTTTCTTTTCACAACTGTTGTAGCTGATAAAAACATTTTTTTCCATCGGCCTTTTCTCTTGGCGTTGTTCATTTAAAATATTGCCAGAGGCAGTTTAAAATTGTGGCGTCTCTGAAGCACAAGGTTTCTGTTCATGTAATATGAATATTCATTTTTGCCATTTTAAAACAGGGCCATGTATTAAATAAATACAGCCCTGGCTCACACATGGGTTGAATAACCAAATCTAAGGACTCTTTCAGGATACATTTGAGTGCATACGCATTGTAACTTAGAGCCATCCACTTGTGAGCCATTTATGTAAGATTTATGGTAATACCATGTCTGAATATTGTCGACATGCAACCGGGCCTCTTGGATGAAGAACCATTCATATGGCTTAACGATCAGATATTTTAACAATTTCACAGAGAACTGAAATAAATTTCCCTCCTAAAATTAACGAAGGCCCACTCCATCACTACAACTTCAGAAACTATACTTTAGAGGGAGACTTTACGACATTAGAAGAAGAATTTGCCAAAGAGCTGACAGAAAAAGCAGAATGAGCTTAACTGCTCAAAGAGGGTCCAAGTGTATTCATTAGTTTCTGTGGCAAAAGTGAAGCTTAAACTCCTGTCAGCTCGCCTCAAGCTCTCCAGCATCTCGAGTGCACTCTTCTATCTGTGACCTCAGAAGGGACCAACAGCAGACTTCCCAAGGGAATGAGGATCAGAGACATTTGCATTCACACTAATGCACAACAAACCAGGAGTGTTGCTCTTTATTTATCAGAATGGCAACTGAAATGTATGTAAAATAGAATGCCGTTCACTGACTACTACATGTTTCTATGAAGATTAGGAATGTTAAAAAAAATGAATTAAATTACTAATTTTAATATGTAGGAGGGAGACAAGGAATATTACTGCTCAAAAGTAAACATGAATTTCAACACTATTCATAAACATGCCCTCGTTTGTCTTTAGTCAGACGCCCCTTATTTTACAGTCAATCAATCAGCTGGCAGATTTCTTCTAAACCTCTTCTTTCTATGTGACCATTTGTCACAACAAAGTGTTGTGTGACGCAGACCAAGACTATAATGCTAGGGAGTTGAAATACTGTATAACTACTGTGAGAAGTAGAAAATTGGTGATGAAGACTCTCTGGTAAAAATGCACATTGTAGAAAAAAGAGCACAAAATGATTGTGATATTGCCCAGGGATGAAGCATTCAAGAAAAACCCACATAACTCAAATGACTGACAGGACCAAACAACATGAGGCTGCAGCGTGATTACTGCAGCTCACCTGGTGCCAAGATATCATTTTAACAGGCAATCATTTTCATCTAAATAATTTCCAAGCTGGAATGAGAAAACACTAAAAGTCCATGTTTTTCTACTGTTCAGCAGTTTATTTCCCAAATGATTTATCAAAAAGTAATGAAAGATTAGTTCTGGCACCTCCGCTTAGCCAGTGCCTGACTACGGAATCTTCAGGGCCTCGTACAGAAACAGGACCCAAGAATTGAGACCAGCCAAAAAACAATCACCCAGTTGCTAAATCAATACACCCAAATAGATTCTGGTCTGGAAATCCAAAAAGATAATTTGGGCAAGGGGAGCAGAGCTCCTGTGATTATCCACACTTCCATTAATATCTACGTTCCTTTTTTTTTGATCATCTATTTGGCAGGAAGTTTGGAATATTTGGCAGTCTGGTGTCCTTTACAATGACAGGCACAAATGGTTTTCCCTGATGGATAACTGCTACGCAGTTTGCTGCTACTTGCATTTGTTAGGGCCTTCCCCACTTGTTTGTGCTTGGATAATGAGGGTTGAGTCTGGAACATGTTGTATATCAATTAGACCATCAAAGACCGTGGGCATTTATGGCTACACCCTTTAACCCTGGGGTTAAATTCCAAATTCTTGTTTTTGCATGTCAAAGACTTGGGCACAAATAAATGCAGAAATAAAAGTTTTAAAAGCCCTTCCCTTCGATAAAGACGTCTGAGAGAAGGATTTATAGTGACTTTTATGTTTTAAATAAACAAGAAAACAAACCTAATTGAATTTCTGCATGGAGTTTAATTCATTTTTTTCTTGGACTCCTAGTCTGGCTAAATTGAGACATTTTCAAATATTCAAAGTGTGTGTTTTTTTCTTTCTTTTCTTTTTAAGACATGTTCCACTCCCTTGAATGACCAGCTTCAAAAGATTTTCACCATGAATCCCACGGGAACGGAGTTAATCCTGATCATCTTCACGAGCAAAGGGATCATCTCAATGTAAATCAGACAGGGTCTTTTGATCAAAGTATTCTAATCAGTTCTGAACACATGACGCCATAAGGAATGAGAACAGGGTCAGTGTGTTGGCTGTCCAAGAGCTGGAGAAAAACAGATCATGTAAAACTATTTATTTAATGAATATACAACAAAAGGCAACATCACTGAACAGCCAACAAAAACGAGATGATTGGTTCAGTTGGAAACATGATCTAACATGTCTTGACCACACTTGAACATCTTCCAGTTCCCGATTTCAATGAGCAGTCCAAGATGTAAACAATCCAGCAAAGTTGCAGCTGAGCTTTTCAAAACCTCTCCTGCATAATGGATCGCAAATACAAAAGCAAACACACCAGTACACGCAAGCCTCGGTCGAATCTAACTTGTTTCGTTTCACAGCAAAGCCCTTTCGGATTAAGAGGGCTGTATTTCACAGTGATTATTTTGCGAAACCATCATCTCATCATAGGACACACCTGACAGATTTGTTCAGCTATTATTTGAGGATTGTTAGGATTCTGCATTGACTTTCTTTCATTTGCACAGCCTTCCCAGAACCCTGCCCCTGACCACAGCCTGTAACGCTGAGCCTTACTGTGTTCACATTAATATCCTGCTATGTTTATCCACAGCTGTAAAAAGATGGTTGTGACTCATTAAGTCTGTGCTCCTGCCACAGGAGCAATTGAATTTGTACAATGAAAAATTGTACAAAAATGAGGAATAAACTGACTAAATCGGACATAAAAATTCTACACAATTACCAAACTCTTAAATCAAGCAACAACCACCGCCATTATAGAGTACCTCACTCTTGGCTCTCTACACCAATGAGATATTGGAAACTTGGGAGATGTCAGACTTACTGCGCTGCACATGTCGCCATCTGCCTGCAGCTCGGGTAACTTCATGGTCTTTGCATCCACATACGTATTCTGCCAACGTCTAAACACTGAGCACACTTCCACACCGTCTCTCTCATCTGCACGTTATTTCAACGCTTAATCGATCACACTGACTTCTCCCTGACTACATGGGAGCTGTGGCAGAAATCCCACGCACACAAACACAGTGTCAGAGGATGGAGAGTAGAAAAAGAAACAGAGATGAAGAGGAGCAGATGAGGATTAGGATGGTGATAATGATGAGGATGAACTTAGGTACATTTTTCTGCAAATAGTCCGTTTCCCGTGGCTTACCTTGGATGTGTAGCGCCAACATGAGTATCCACAGCCCCAAACACATCGCCATGGCTCCTAACTGTCCGGATCTTGTCTTGGAAACCCGAAAAGTGTTTGAATGTGGGCTCTGACTTGAGACCACAAACAACGAGCATGCAACTTCTGCTAATCCCACCTCGGCCCCCCTAAAACTAGTCCACTTCCCTCAATGGGCAGTAACAGCAGCAAGAACAGACTTAGGCAGAAGTCGTGCGTCTCACCGTGCCTCACTTTACGTCTGCTGCAAGAGTTTGTTTAAAGTAGACGCAAGAGTAGAGACAGAGATGATCGGATCCGGTCTGGTGCAGATGAGGCTGTTAAAGCTGCGAAATACGAGCTGTGGGGTTTATCACACGCAGCTCTTCTGGTTTAACCATGCAGCCTTTGTTGCTCCATTCACCGCAGCGGCTGCACAACTGGCTCTCTCTCTCTCGCTCTCTCTCTCGCTCGCTCTCTCTCTCTCTCTCTCACCCTATCTCTCCCCTCTCTTCCACCGCTGAGCCTCACAGCTAAAAGTGGGCGGGAGGTCCTCGATCGATGCTGCACTGGGAAGTTTCCAACACTTGGGAAGTTCCTCCAGGGAAATGTCCAGCTTTTCCTCCCGTCAGCAAAAGTGACACTTCACCTCACAGATAATCTGCCGGCGCAGTTCCTCAATAAGTTCCAGGCTCTTCTGCCTGTCTGCAGCTGGACACACCAGGAGTCCAGGTCGATGAAGTTGGAAATGGCAGGGTGGTCTTGGTGCAGCCCGTCTCCCCCTTTTTCCTTCCTGTTTTTTATGGGATGTGAAACTCTTTTGTCTATCTCTGCGCGCACTGCTCCACTGTTCTGCCACTAGAATAAGCTGCTGCTGCTGCTGCTGCTGCCGCTGACGATCACTCAGGCTTTGGGAGAGATCGGGATCTGGTGACGTTGTGCGAAGGGAGGAGGAGCATGGATTGTCCTGCAAAAAAAAAAAAAAAAACCTCACAGCTTGCTTGGAAAGCAGGGGCAGGAGAAGTTGGCTTCAACCCTCATAGAGAAGTGACCCCCAAACTTTTCCTAAAACATCAACCCCCTTCCCCGCCCCATCCGTTTGCAGCCAAAGTAAGGAACAGAGCGAGAAACCTTTAGGATACAGATGTGTTTCTAACAGAACCTGGGTGGAGAGTCGGGAGAAGGACAAACACAGCATGTGTAGCCATTCATGCAATAATGATTCATAACCAAAAGCTCCTCTGTGGTGAGCCAAGCAAATGCAATGTTGAGAAAACCACACGGTCAGACACTGTATCCTGTGACGTAAGGTGGTTGGGGAAATTAAAGACAGAACGTTTATTTTCATTTTGATACACTGCCCCTCCACCCCCAAGTGCTGTGACTCCGTATCAAATTTAATTAATCAAATACTTTAATATCAAAACTCATGAATTTATGAAGTAGTAAAATGTCTTGTGGGTTAAAAAGAATATTTTTTTTCTCTAAGCACACGTTCTCTTAGCACAGCAGATCTTCTGTTTCCATCTCAGCCCAACTGTCCTCTTCCACTGTTGCCCTGTCAGATCAAACACATAGATCTTCTATTAGCCGTATGGCTTCTTCTTGACATTGGGTTTAAAAGTGTCAAAGGTCATGTTTTGGGTTTTTACTTCTATTTCCACAGATCTATTATATGAAGTTAGAAGGTTGTGTATTTGTCATAGAACTTTCATGAAACACTGTGGAAACATATGTTTTAGCTTTGTGGTATGCTTAATCATTTTTGGGTTAATAGTTATGGGAGGTTGAAAGTGTAGGTGAAGCTGCTTTAAGGAATTTGTTCCTACATGCACTCCCATGCTGACCTTTCTTTTAAATGAAGTTAAACTGATCAAGATGTGCCGTCTGTCTTGGGTCCATGTGGAGGTCAATACTGCATGTCGATGTGCACAACACAGGATTGACAAGGGCCTTTCCCATTCCTGAGCCTTCATGGCCTGGTGAAAAACCCCCCTTGTATTAGGAGCTAATGCTGAAGGGAAGCTAATTTCAACAACAAACTGTATGAATGTTGTGAGTTTCTTGTAGCGTGGGTGGTCCCCGCAGATCCCAAAGGCAGCAGTAAACTCTGAACTGGGACTCAATAGTTGTCACTGGCATGACATCTCTCCAATATTCATTTGGTCGCAGCAGAAGGCCATTCATTGTTCTTAGCTCTTTGTTTTCTTTATTAATTCCATTTGTCGTCAGAGTGCAATTAAGTATTTAACCTTTTGTCTGTTTAAGTTATATATATATAAAACATTTTAACAGAAACTGACCTGATAAATTGTAACTGTATACAACCAATAACCATGGTCATGTTTCAGTTGTTTCAGTGAGCCAGATAATAACACAAAACAGTGAAGGAATTAGATTTAGATACTAGTGTCAGTACTACATTTACTGACGATATTTATACACACATATGTACATGTATGCATCCTTATATCAGCCATATATCTGATATGCATTCATATACATTGAGATCTATAAAATATCGTACTCATACACATTACAACCAATCACGTTAATGTTTCCGACATGTCTAGCCCCATCAGGGACACCAACACCCACTCATCCCTGCAGCATCAGTAAAACCACAAATCTAACTTCAAATCTAAATCAGGGTGGGACGGTGGGACGGTGGGACAGTGGGACAGCGGGAGCTAAATCATGATCCAAACCGTCAACACAACTGTGTTCAAAGTGAAGTAATGTTTATCCAAAAACACGGCTCGACGTCTTCAAGAGACAATAAATGAACAAATATACTCTAGTGCTTGATTTGATTGGGTCCCAAAAGAAAATTTGAAGATATAATAATGACATTTCAAATAATTGCAAAGAGACTTTAGTGAGTAAAGATCTTGAGTTATTTCAGTATTTGCTCTGTATTTTCCACAAGGCAGGCTTTTGAGATGGTAAAACTGAGGGTGACTGTAGCATTATTTCTGCTCTGTGCTCAAATATGTAGATGGAGCATGAGTGCTAATATGTATGCGTCACATGTAGTCAGATGTGATGTAAAGTAATGTTGTTGTTAGTCCTTCTGTTCCTCCCTCCTCCCCTTCTTTAAACAAGCCCTGCTCCTGTTTAAAAGCAACCGAACAGGATCAGACATGTGGCGATCCTTGACTGTAAACAAATGAGAGAGTATGAGTGTGATAACACTTCCCTCTTGTGGACAGTCCCCTTTACATAATTACAGTAGGCCAGGCAGGAATGACATGCATGTTACTGCAGTTGGTCATCCTCTACTGTATGGACTTTTGCACTGGGCCAAAATCATGATTTACTATGTGCAGCCCAGGATTATTATCTGCATTATCTGAACAGCGAGACAAATTACCTGGCATGAGAGAAGAGCGCCGGCCTGGTTATTAGGGTCAGTGTATTGTTTGGGGCAATGATTCATAAATCACGCAAATGGAAACCCAGATGTGACTAACACTTTCCTCGTAAGTGTGGGGATGCATGGCAAATAAGCACTGCCCATCGTCCAGCTACAACACCAGAAAACAACACAGGAACATACTGTAGATCAAATCAAAAAGTAGGATAATTTTATTTTTTTTAAATCTTATTACAGCAACTCAACGTGTTATTATTGCACTAGCTCATTAATTAACTAGCGCCGCCATTTTTGTTATCGCACGTTAACGTATAAATAATAACGTTTTTATTATTATCATTAATTTATCATTGTAAACATCTGTTGCTCACCAGCTTTTATTCTGTAAATCCGCATAAAAAGAGGATTGATTTTTTACAAAACCCTGCCTCCCATTGTATCGTTTAAGTGCAGATTTTAATAATTATTTAATTTAGCTGCTACTGTATAAAATGCTAATGTTAAGGCGTTTGGAAATAAATGTTATGGCACTTAATAAAAAAATAAAATAAAATTGTTTTTGTCTAACAGAGTGATTAATCACAAGAAGTCATGTAAATGGAAACCCTTATCTCAGCCAAATGGAATAATATCATGAAATCTGATACATATGAGTGTCTATTAGTGTATTAACATGCACTGAAATGAAGTGGGAATTCATGAATATCCTGTAAGAAGCATCCATTCATAATGGATGAAAATGCTGTCGGGATTTACTACATCAAATTTATGCAGCGTTTTTTTTTTTTTAACATTTGGAAGATAAACTTTTCACTTCATAAATTTAAAAGGTCGCAGCAGTAGTGGCCTGGAGGACGTGACGGATGGGTAGTGAGTGTAAATCTGTTAAAGCTGAAGAGATTCTATTGGTGGAAGTGACATTATCCAACACCATTCAACAAATGTTGCCTTGAATGTGCTTTTAAGCAAAGGGAGTTATAGAGGAACTCTTCCAATGGCAAGAGTTCATTAGTCAGCAATGATTGCATTGGCCTTCTGGAGTGTATGAGCAAGACGACAAAGGGCCCATGCTTGGCCGAGCTGCCCGCGGCACATAAAGGCTAAAATTCTCTGGATTTACCCTTTGCCTTGGGTGAATTAACTCCTTTGCCCCTTTCATCGAGCGACTGAGGCTGTGATTGATTTACAGGCGAGCTGATGAAATTTGATACGGTTATTCTGCACTACAGCTCATGTCAGAGCTCAAGGCGAGGCTCGAGCTGCTGGTAGAGATTTAGGAACTGGCCCGGGTAATGAATATTTGGAGAGGCATCGGATGCAGGCATTAATAAGAAAACACTTCACCCTGTTTTGTCAATGTTTTACGCAAAGTGAGAAACAAATCACTGGTTATAGTGACACCGTGTGTCACTACCACACAGTGTGTAAACACAATATGTCACTGCACCGAGTATAAGCTAGTGCAAATACTATTTCATTCAACAAAATACCTGTCATAGCTATGGTTGTTTATCGTCTAAGTTTTGGGCTGCTAACTTCCATGTCCAGTTTGAATACTACATTTGTTTCTCTGTACCAATCAGTTAACTGGTGTTTTACCTTAAAGACTTAATATTTGTTGACTTAGTACTTGGATAAATAACGGTGCTGAAGGTGACAGTCTGCAGGATTTTTTACATTGGATGCAGACCCTTATGCAACCCACCCTGGTATTAGGGACTTAATGGAAATCAAACCGACAACCTTCTGCACAGTAGGCAGAAATCCCCACCAGAGCGACACCATAGCAACAGGATAGCTTATGTCGGTAACGTCTTTAATTTTGCAACCTACGTAGAGTTGCTGATTTTGTTTTTTGATTCAAACTTTCATTCCTGCCAAGTCTCTCATCAGTTGATAGATACAAATACTAGTGACTGCAGATCATTTGTTGACATAAACGTTAAACAGTAATTTGAAGGCTGTAAACATAATTCATACTCATTATGCTTTAATCTTCTCTCTTTCTTTTTTTTTTGTTCACACATCAACACAACAGAGAGAAAAAAAAGTAATTTTATTCAGGGTGAAGCCAAAGATGTTATCTGTTTGTTGACAGTACATTATCTTTTCCTTCAAACACGGATCAGCAGGACACACTCTGGCTGCCGGGCCCTGCCACTGTGCTCTGAGAAAATTACTGTAGGAAGGAAAGGAAATCACTTTCAGAAGCGCGTTGGGAAGAAAACAAGTAAAAGAAAAGTAACAAGTGAGGACAAGTGATTCACTGTCAGTCTGTCGAGTCACCAGCCGACTGCACCCAGAGTTTACCTTAAATGATCAGTACCATCGATAGGATATCTAAAATCTGACCTCTGCTCACCTTCTGTAAAGAAACAGGATAAACATGCAGATGGATGGCATCAACACTCTCTCTATCATGTGAACCGTCTGATATATGTGATGTTTAATGGTGCTTGCGTACTTAATGAAACCGCTGTGTCTGCCTCATGCACCATAACAAATAAAAGACAATAAAAGGAAATGAACCCTTAATATGCCTATAGGGCTTACAGCTGTGTTTTGGTTCTGGATTAAAATGGATGTATTGCTCTACAACTTGATGTGGCATAAATTAAGAGTAAAGACGGTTGTAAAGAAGTCCTGCATTTCCGCACATATCACAAAGTTGCATCTTCAGAAATGCAATATTTGGCATTGGTATATTTTGTGTATTTTTTAATATGTGAGTTTAGTTCTCAACTATACACAGCTGTAATGCTATCAATATGTAAACAAATCTTCAGTGTAAGCACTTAAAACAGTTCAAATATTAAAACGTTTCATCAGATCTCTGAGCTGTTAGAGCTCTGGATTAAACACGATTTATTGTGATTGATTATAATTGTAATCAAGCATGATATTTTCGACTGAATTCATGACCAAAAAAGGTTTTATATATATGTATGTTGCTGTAACAGGAAGATAAATAACAGTGGGACGATGTCTGATTAATTAATTATTTAATTAGTATTTGTGATTAGTCGAAATTCTGGAATTTTTAATATGGAGAAAGGTCTAGAAAATGGTGATGGTCACAGCTAAGAATCATCTATTAGACCCCGTCTAGCATGCTGCTGTATCGAGGGGGTATTTAAAGCCCAGGATGTTGTTTGTGAAATTAAACCTTTTATTAATACCATAGAAACAGATTTTGTCACGATGAGGAAATTGTCTGCCAGTCAAATTCTAATTCTAAAACAGACCAGGAGAAGTGGAGCCAGACGCTTT